GATGGTTAATAACAGCTGAAAGCAATACCTCCAAATTTCTCTTCAAGTATGCAGAAGATAATGGGACTGTAGAATGATACTTTGGCTAGAAATACAGTATAACTCAGAGTATTCCATGTTAATGTCTATATCAGATATCTGAAAAAAAGTGCCCAGAACCCACTGGTCCCTTAGCTCCAGTGTCCGTGCAGGCCCAGCCCACTAGAACAATCTCTTCCCCTCCTCTCCCTCTCTGCCTGAGGGAAAGGACGAAGGTACCCACGTCACAAGCTAGCAAGTTACAGGGCTAAACGCCTGCAGCAGCATTAATGTATGTCCGTGGTGGCCAAATACACACCCTATTTATAGAGAGCCTGACTCAGCGGACAGTGTGGAGTCACCCCACCTGTCCATGTCTGCTTTCGCGAAAGGGGCAGAATTCCGCCTGCTCCTGCTCCAGAGCCCAAAGGTGACAAGGTCCCACCACACAAGCATGAACCTTGGGGCACAGGGAAAAGCCTGCACCAGAGCACTGCTTCCACCAGTTAATAGATACACATTGAACTGTTTTGCTTTTCCCAGAAAATCTTTCAGGTACTTCCTGGTTGTCACTTAAGTTCGGTGTAAAAGATACCAACCAAACATCTAGACAAAAATTGAAATATTTAAGCTAATTGCCTATGTATTTGATGTGCTGCAGCTCAAAAGCACAAGTTTAGAAACAACTTGCTATAGTCCCTCCTGGCTTTCCTCACCTCAGAGTGAGCGACTAGAGGCTCTGAACCTCAAAGCAGCAGCTTTAGGCCCAGGCCTCAGTAAACTCACCCTTGTCAAGAGATCCTTCCTTCAAGAGTCTCCAGAGCATTGCTTATCCAGCCTGCTGGTCTACCTTGCCTATAGCAATCTCCACCTCAGAGGACATATGGTCTAAGTTTCATGCCTCACGACCCCCATGCAGACTTCCCAGTGTATAAAGGACTGACCCTAATGAGTTATTTGCATGGCTGAATTCATTCTTCTACCTATCATGTAGTAGCCTATGTCCACAATATTTACAACTCAGAGTGTTTGATCACCGCAGTATGGGCTCTTGCAATCATTGTTAGCAACGGGGAAGGCTCAGACCTGGGCGCTTTGCCAGGTTAGTAAAACTTTCCATGAGGGAAGCTTTTTGTTCTCTCTTAGAGCAGCTTAAGCTCAGGAAAGGGGAGGGAGTGAGAAGAAACTCATAGCCCAGACAGGGCAGACATGACCAGGCTCCCTCGTCTACCTGCTTGTTGTTTTAATGACATCTAGATTTCTGCAAACCCAAGAGCCCGTGGGGGAACTGAAAGGCCTGATTATGGCAGAGGCCATGGGGCGGCCACAGTGACAGGGGGCACATGGTGGCAGAGAGGCAAACACCTTGGGACCAATCATTTTAGCCAAAATAAACTAATGAGGGTGTTCCGTTCAGCAAAGCGGTTGCTTCTGCTGCCACTAGTCTCCTTCACACAAATACTACAGCACGCGCCACAGACCTCACAAGCAACTCAGAACAGTTTCCACCAGATGTGTACAAAAGAGGAGCCTACATATAAGGGGGCTGCCCATGTTCACATGTACAATCAAGAGAAGACCTGTACCAGGACAGGAGCATCACCACACAACCCAGCTTTTGACAATGGCCAATTCAGGGAAAGAACTAGAAGCTCACATATAGTTCTGTGGCATGTTTTTAGAAACCTACATTTAAAATAACATGGAGTTCATAATACTAATATCTTTAAAATGTACTTTGTGGTTTTGCCATATCCAAGAAGTCTAAGTTGAAAGTTTAAATCTTATGGAGACTGTTGGAACAAAGAACAAATTATCACTAAAATTTATTTAAGGGCCAAGGATTGTTGCAACAAAACTTGAAAGTAGAAATGACTGAAAAACAAAAAATCCTAGGGGGTCAAGAGAAGGTTCATTTTTTATCCTGAGGCTTAAGTTATTCCTTGAGATAACGGGATATCTGGAAAGCATACTACCCTTACGAGTTCAAACATGTGACCAAATTCAGGCTGTAGTGTGTGAACGGCCCTCCTGGATCACATGTTGATGCAAATACTGAAAATTTATGTACCCAAAGTGCTCCAGACTCTCAAAACTGGATATAACATCTTATCATTGCCTTTTCACTCTATGGTCCCAGAAAACAAAATCAAAACCCAAAGGAAACCAAAACCCACAATCCGTGTGGGATACATTCTTCCTACCTCCTCCTGAGCCCAGCTGTCTGTAAATCGAAGCACTGCTCTGCCCCGCACCCCTGTGTGGATGGAGCCAGCAGAAATGATTAAGTGAGAGGCCAGAGTGGGCTGGAAACCTTGATTCCACAGGCAGGGAAAGCACTTTGGGAAAGTGCTGGGTGGGGAGGGCTGGCCAATCTCTGTGCTTCTTTACTCAACCAATCGCTTGGACTGCAGTGGCCACATGCTTGTCCCTCTGTGTTCCTTCCTATTAGCAGTTCTGCGAATTGCAGGAAACTAAGTCTGCACTCTGGTGAGGGCTCAGGGTGCCTCATGCCCACACAGAGAGCTAAACTCCAGAAGAAACTGTTCAGGAGTGCGGAGCCTCACTCGGCCTGCCTGGCTGTGGAGAGCTACAACACTGCCACGGGGTGTCAGAGGGAGCCGAGACCCTTTGCTTTGAAGGCTCACTTATACCAAAAGTACAGCAGTGTCCCCAGTTTTCAGTTCTTTGTGTTGCATAAATTGACAAAGACTGCCTTTTACTAAGGCCACTTGAAATCAATGGAGCTTAATTTCTTGGCTTAGACTACTGTGGTTATTTTCATTCTCAATGCTTCTTCCCTGGGGTGGTTATAAATGCAAACTGAGACTGAAAAAAAAAGACATCATACTAGGATGGGTTCCTCTACTTAATGACTGGCTCCCTCTCTCCCTTAAGAGAGCTCATGGCACTGACTTCCTGTGTTAGCAACACTACACCTTGGTGATGTGAGATCTGCAATGCCTGTGCTCCTCTTAGGCAGAAGGATGAAATTCAACAAAGTATGTGCCAAATGATAGTGCTCTAGTGTCTCCTTCCATCCCTGCAGCTCCACCCAGTTGCGGGGACAGTGCCAGCATCACACTCTAGTATTGGACCCAGCATTCCCATTTCCCAGGGTATCTCACCTGCCCCACATTCCAGCTTACAACAAAGCTGCATCTGACATTGGCAGCCATGACCTCCAGGGCACTGGGAAATGAGGCTGAACCTGCTTCCCATCTCTGGGCCACAGGGCACTGCCCAGATGTGGGAGTCCAGGGCTGTCCGGTCCAACTGCCTCTGCAAGGCTGTCCTGCCCTTGACCAGGTGACAAAGCTGTGGTAGAACACACAGTACTTCCTGAGGCAACTCGAATGGTGAGACTGCAGGCCAGAGCGTCAGAGTCACTTGCCACGGTGACTTCTTGGGCAGAATCCTGGAGCTAAGGAAGCAGTGCTATGTGGCCCACAAGCCTGTCCACCTCAAGAGGCCTAAGGACAGTTTTGTGTATAGAGTATAGAAAAATGAATTTGGAGTGGACAGTCAGATACAAATTGGTACACCTTCCTGGCATCTTGTGGCCATAACAAACCTTCAGGAAGGTGCTCAGGGCAGCAGCAGCCCTCAAACACGGAGGCAAAGCTGTTGTGGGCCCCTCATGTGAGGACAGGAGAGCTCAAAGGCAAGGAACATTACCAACAGCACAGACCACAGCATTAGGTTCAAGGGTTAAATATCTTTTAAGCACAAATTTTGCATGCATCCTTCTCAAAAAGCTTGTAGCCTTGAATTAGAAATTTTGGAGGACAACATTCAACAGAAACTTTTGAAATCTTAAAGCTCAAGAGTTTTGTCCCCCAGGTCACTTGGGGTTGATGCTGGACCTGTTACCATGAAGCTTAAAAGACTCCTTACCCACAGGCCAGCACGCACCACAGTCTTTTAGGAGAACGAGAAGCAGAACCCCGGCATGACTAGAGTTTCCACATGCTCCTTCCAAAAGTCCCCTTGAAGCAAAAGGGATGCCCAGAAGCTGACAGCTACAGCAGTAGAAAAAGTCAACAGCACTCAGCTCTGCTACTTTTATGGGAGACTGACTAAAGGAGGCTACAAGGCCTAAGCCTTCAAGGGACAGGAGAATGAGCACTGTTCTGGGCCCATCTGGGTCCAGCTGGTGGTACACACTGCTTCAGGCATGCTGGTCAGCACCCGGACCTGGGAAACGACTCACACCAGGAAAACTGGCTGTGTCTTCGATGGTATGTTTGCTGCATGAGGCCCAGCAAACGTGAACCAAGCCCACTCCTAAAGAGAGGGTGACCAGTGTTTCAGGTCACAAGGCTGGTTGCTGAAGCACTACATGGTGAGGGGGCCTCTTATTACTCATCTCCAAAAGGAGGGATTCTTTCAAACACATGCGGAAAACAGGAGGTGTCTTGCCTTTGCAAGCCATTCTGGACATGCTGAATTTTGGCACGCTGCTGCCCTACGCAAGCTGTGTGCTGGGCTGGGAGCAGGTCCCCGCCTGGATAGAAGTGCCCTGCTCCCTGTTCACATTCCCTGAGTGCCTGACATTTAAATATTTAAATATTTCCACATGGCTGCCCAGAGTAAAACCTTAATCCTAGCTAGACTTTTGTCTCAAGTCTGTTCTCTAAAGAAGCTCCTGGAAGGCCCAGCAGTGCTCTCTTCTACTTTCTGAGCACCCAGGCAGTTCTTTGTCCAGCTTTCATCAACAAACTTAGGGGTCCCAAGTTTGGACCTAGTAATCCTCAGGCAAGGGGGCACGGAGACTGGAGCAGAACCAGTGCCACGCAGCTTGCTACTGCAGACCGGCACAGCACAACACGGCAACGCAACAGCACCCACAGCCACTCTGGGGGACTGGCTCCCACACTAGACGTCAGCCTGATTGCAGCTCCTCCACACCCCGCTTTCTTCGAGAGCTCCCGGGTAGGGTGCCAGATGGAGCGCACACCTGTATATCTGTGGGTACTTACCATCGTCCAGGTACAACTGGTCCAACTCTTCAGGTTCTCGCTTGATCGTTACAGGAATAGGGGCCAAATTATGATTACTGTCCTCACGCACCTCTGGCAGTGACAATGGCCCGGTGACTGGAGACTCATTTCCTCGAACCTTCGGTGACTGCTGCTGCTGCTGGCCCGTGGTGGGAGGGTGGGCTGAGGACTGCAAGCAGGTTGGCTCGTGGGCAGTGGATGAAAGTGGAGAAGAGGGGCTGTTGGGACAGAGTGCTTGTTGGTAACCAAGGGAACAGCTACTGCTCAGATGTGGACTCACCTGCGGCTGCAGCAGGACTGGAGGGGGCTGCTTGGGTGAGCCAGGCTGCACAGCCATGGGTCTCGGCACTTCCTGAATGGTGGGGGCCTCTGCAGCCTGCGGCTGAAGTCCAAGGTGACTGTGGCCTGGGCTGGTGATGCCCTTGGTGTAGGCTGCAGAAGAAAGGTCGTGGAGCTTTGGACTCGAGCTGGGAGGCGTGGACATCATGGTGCTCCTCTGTGGATATGGGGCGAAGCCAGCCACAAGGCAGGAGCTGGGGTCAGGCAGCATCGTGAGCTGTGGGCTGTAGTACGGCCTTGGGAGAGGACTTAACCCCTGGCTCATGGGTCCGCAGGTCAGGGCAGGCTCATAGTCATCGGTGGGTTCTGTTTTTATAATTGGAACTGTGAGGAGGGAAGAAAAAGTTAAATAAACAAAAGTTGCAGATGGGTACGACTGGGCGGGCTGTGGCTAGGATACCCTGTGCAAAACAAACAATGTCTTGACTGAGTCCCTGTCTCTGACTGGTTCTCCCACCCAATTAAAAAAGGAGTGAGTCACTGGCTGAGAGAGTCGCAGCTGGTTCTAATAGAGAGAACTATTTTCCTTGGAATCTCCCCCAGCACTAACGTGCTATAAAAATCCATTTGCAAGCTGCAGTAGAAGCTTTGGGCCCAAGGGCCCTTGGATTTGTAGCAATCAAAGCGAAAATTTTAACTTGGAGCCACTACTGCTCTAAGGCTACTGACGCTGTCTGATAAATTTTGCACGTGGGGTAAACCTGAGCGTGTGGCAGGACAGCTCTGAAAGCCGGTGAGAATCCAGCTGAGAAGGTAAACAACTCTGCTGCAGGAGAAAAGCCGTGAATCACAGCAGGAGAAGAGCACTTCTGAGCTGGCAGGAATGTCGCCTCTCCCTCCTCCCCTCCTGGCTTCCACTCCTGCAGGGGGACCCTCAGAGAGAGCCACTGGGGGACCTGACAGCTCCTCAGAGAATCGGGAGCTCCCAGCTCACTAGACCATGAAGAGGCCGATGGTCCAGGAAAAATGCTCAAAAAGACCCAGCCTCTGAGGCTGGGCACTGGTCCCAGGCTGTGGCCAGAGCAGGCGCCAGGCTCCTCCCCAGCCGCACAGGCCTCTGTGCCTTGGTTTCCGCAGGAGAGCTGGGAAGAGGATGGGGATGGCAAGTAGGCCAGAAAGGGGTGCCAGGCAGACCCTGCAGGGGGCCCATTCTTGCCCTGCTTGCTCCCTGCACCACTGTGTTCTTGCTGGTCTTGCCTCTTCTGCCTCTCAGAAGAGCCAGCGAGATGGTCAAGAGATTCCACAAACAAATTCCACAGACGACTGGCAACAACACACTTCAGTTCATGACAGACCACGATGAGCTTCATGCCAAGGCAGTGTGTCAGCCACGCGGGGCACTGCCCTTCCACTGCGGCTGGCAGGCCGCATGTGGCCCTTCCAACAGGCACACTGCACCCAGGGCAAACACACATACCACAAGGAGGGCTCGGCCTCCTCCATAAACAAATACAAGCACATCCACATTTTGAGAGAAATTCTTCAGCCAGGTCTTGTGCCAGCAAGAATGTGTGTCTGTTCCCCCTCATGGCCCCAGAACGTCTGTGTCACCAATAGCTATGAACGATGAAGACACAGTTGGCCTAGAGCTCAGCTCTGGAGGGAACCCCGTGCTAACAGTGGTCTCCACTGCAAGTTTGGGTGACTCTGTAGAGGCCAGTGTGGGGACACATGGCCCACTGGCTGCCTGAGGCGCCATGCCACCTAGGGAGAAAGTCATCCTAGGACAAGGATCCACACACTCAACCTCCACGCCCAGAGGTGACACTGAAGCCTTGAGGCCAGGACTCCAGAAGGGCACCGCAGCTGTGCTGCATGCCAGCTTCCCTGTCTCCATTTTCATTCACTTCACTGTTTAAATAAATGTCTCTGTGCCCGGCAGGTAGGTGTGAGTGCTGGAGGGACTGGACTATAGGAAGTGCTGACATTCAGAAGGTAAAGAAACAGCAGGGGCAACTGTGAGCTGGGGCCTCAGCCACTTTCAAGAGATAGTGTAAGGTCCTTCAGGGCCTGTTCTCCAGCCCTTAGCCACAGGATGGTGCTGCCACGGCTACCTGGGAAGTGTGGCCAGCACAGTGAGCCAAAGGACAACAGCAGATGGAGGACACACTTCATGTGGTGCCCAGGGAGTGCTGGACTTGTTTAGTCAGGCATGTGGACTCCACCAGCACACTGAATACCTTCTCAGAGAGGACATGGGTCACCTGCCCATAAAGGCCTGCCACAGGCATGCTGCCCTCTGCGGAAGGCTTTTCCCATTGTTTCCATAAGGGTACCACCCACCAGGGGCCTGGAAGCAGGGCTCGTATCATGCTGGACTCATTCAAGAGCTGCCACCTGCTGCACAACGACACCAGGACAACCGGCCACACTGAGGGCGTTCAGGTGGCCACACAGTGGAAGCAGGAGCAGGTCCATGTGCAGCCAGCATTTCTTGTGAGCCACTGAGGAAAGAGATGTGGGAGCATCAGTGCTTGGCAACCAGGCTGGTATGCATTTCCAAAAGAAGGCCCCACACGTCACCTTCTCAAGGCTGCGACGATTTGCCACGAAAACGACTCCTGGAGCAGCGACCTGGAATCCTGGGCTGACTGCTGAGCCACCCCAGGTGGTAGAAGAGGGAAACACCGTCAGTGGGGAGCAGGTCTGGCCATACAGGAAGGTGGAAGCTGTATAAGCCTCAAGGCCAGGCCCACTTCTATGTGGCTGGAGTGTGCTCAAGGGAAAGGCTCTGGGGGGCTCGATTAGCATGGGGCCTAGAAGAGGCCCCTCATCAGAGGCTCCCCGTTAACCTCCTCATCTGTAGCTGTGCCCACTGCCCCCATGGGGCATCTGCTTCCTCTAACTGACATAGCTGAGGGAGGCACAATATGGAGCGGGCTCCTGTGGCCAGGGCTGGGTACACACAGGGCTTCCCTACAGACCTCCCTGTGAGGTATGATGCCTCTCACAGACATCCATCTATTTTCTCCCAAGCCTCTGGAGTCACAAGCACAAGCAGCTGACTCCTCTCTGGGCCCTAGACCTGCTGAACTTGAGGGGAGGGCCCACCAGTCAGCTGCCAAGAGTGACAAGAGGACATCCTCATGTTTAGCAAAAGGCAGCATGGTAAGTCATTCCCTTGACAGAAGAAAGTCACACACAGGAAATGAGCTGTGGATCCCCCACCTTTATAAGGGGCTGCACCTCCCAGGAGGCAGTTATGGAAGCCCTCAGTCATCTGGAACCAGGCAGCGCTTATAGGTCAATTTGTCACCCAGAGTACCAATGTTGGCTCCAAGCACATGCCCTGTCCAGACAGCTCTGCAGAGGAAGAGGCCAGGTTCTAGGAACTGTCCCCAACCAGAACCGCTCCAGCCTGTTGCCAGCAGGTTTTAAATCCAGAACTGGCGAACACGGGATGTAGTCAGACTCTGAGAGGCACCTGGAAGGCAGAGCTGGGTGCAGCCAGTTGCTGGGAACACAGGCTCTGGCTGGCCATGGGGCACAGTTGTTGCAGAAAACAGCACTAGACAAATGATAGGACCCTAGGGTACTCAATTCTCTCCATTTCAAAGTATGACCTTGAGAAAGGGCAGGGCTCACAAAGTGAAGGTTAAATTCTAAGTTAGATTGGTAATTTCCAAAGTTCATGATTTTAAAAAGATTATGACTGGAAGGTTAAATTAATACCCCGCTGGGACTCTCTCTGATGTACAGGGGTTCTCAGACAGGCACCAGGCCTAGCTCCTCTCTCAAATAAAGCACCCCTCAACTCTGTAAAAACTCTCATCCTGACTGCCCTGTGCAACACGAAAGCTACAGTCCCAAACACAGCTGTCCAGTAAATGCCGGCGGCCATAGTTTATCTGCCACATAGGGACAGCGACAGCCAGCATGGCTGGACCTGGGCCAGTGATCCAAAGGCCAGGCCAGGCAAGGTGAAGAGCAGGGTGGGTGGCACCTGCTGCAAAGTGCTGCAGTGAGCCCTGCAAATTCTGTTGTTTATGACCTGTTTAAAACGCCCATGGCCCTGGTGCTAATTCCCGAATCTCTCCAACCATCTCAGGGTCTTCCTGGAGGCAACACAGGCTACTCAAATACTGGGAGGTACCTCATGCCCACAGGAACGTGAGTCCTGTAGTGGTGGAGTGACCCCAGGCTTCTAGCTCTGGGGATGTAGAGTGGACCGAGGGGGAAGCCATCAGGCTGGGTCCCAGGTAGGTGGAAGGTTGTGCGGATACTTCGTGCTGCCCCTCACCGCCTCGCCTCTGCAGCCTGCTCCTCCCTAATCACACAGCCTGAAGCCAGATGTCCAATGAGGCCACACATGGGCCTCTCTGAGACACCAGCTTGCTGCCCTTACTTGCCCTGTACTGCCTGCCCAAGGACTGCAGCCAGTGCCAGCACTCACTCCCTCTGAGGTGCAGTGATGGGGGGGCGGTGACTGGGGGGTGACATGCAGTATCTAAACTGCATGTTCAAGGAGGTGCCCTTCTAACAGTGGCCTTTGTGTCCGGGTCCCTCAGCCCCAGCCCCAGATCACAGCCTGATTTTCATCACTGAGTGTCAAACAGGTAGGCACAAAGAGGGAAGATGTAATGTGTCCTGCCACCTGCCAGCTGCCACCAAGGCACCAGTTCCTTGTACCTGGCTGTGATGTCCCTGCTCCTGGGCTGAGGAACAACATCCCCTTTATGCTCCCAGCCTGGCTACTGAGGTACCAGCTTAGCGCTAAAGTGGGGATTGTGTGAGAGAAGCCCTTATCTTAGAAGACACCAGGCACCCAGGACCTCCAAGGCCACCTTGGCCTTTCTTCCTAGGGCTCCTACCCAAATCCCAGCCTTCTCTAGATGACCCCATCTCAGCCTCACACTTCCATCTCCCTGTCCTTAGCCCCCATGGTGGCAGTGCTGTCACACGCAACTCATGCAACAGAGGGCTGCTAACAGCTTCAGCAACCAACTGAGGATCTCTAGTCACTCAGCACCAGGAGAGGTACTTTTGTGATGATCCGGCCTGAAGTGCTGGCAAAGGAGCTACCCTGAGCAATGTGTTCTGCAGCCCAGCTTTGAGATCCGGATGGAGGGCCTGGGAAGTCAGAGACTAAAGTACACATCTGCCTCCCCGTGACAGCTACAGAAGGGCAAAGCCTAAGTGTTTTGTGACTATGCTATATCTAAACTGCATTTTTCACGTGAATTTCAGAGAAATCTGGAGCTTCATAGAAAGACGCCTCTGTTTCCTATTAGCAAGGAAATAGAAAGAGCATGTTCTGCGCTGGGGCCCGGCGGCTGGCCCCACCCGTCTTTCAGTGCTTGAGGGAGGGGAGGCATGGGGGGGGA